TAGCTCGCTGGTTGCTGGCTAGCTTCTAGCTAGCTGCTAGCTATCGCACAGGTAGCTAGCTGCCAGCTAGCTAGTGGCTAGCTAGCGGCTGGCTAGCTAGCCGCCTGTTCAGCTAGCTTGCAGCTAGCCATCGCTGTGCGCATATTTCTGTCGGCTCAGAAAGTCCCTTTCTAAAGGCCAGCGAGCAGCGGCAGCAACTGCTGCGGGAACAGCAACATGCAGCAGCAACAGCAGCAGCAACAGCAGCAGCAGCAGCAGCAGCAGCAGCAAGTCGCCATACGTGAGAGCTGCGCCCCAGCGAAGCGCTCAAAAGCCAAGTCGAGGTCGGGCGCTTCAAAAGACACTTCCATCAGCAAGGCTTCGGATCCAGCGTCTGCGCAGCAGCAGCAGCAGCAGCAGCAGCAGCACGTGCAGCAGCAGCAGCACGTGCAGCAGCAGCAGCAGGGTCAGCAGATGCTCACCCGCTGCGGACATGGCAGCTGCAGCACCGGTGAGAGCCGCCCCAGTAACTTGAGCTCTAAGCGGCAGCAGTAGCAGCAGCAGCAGCAGCAGCAGCCACAGCTGCAGCTGCAACTGCAGCAACAGCAGCAGCAACGGCATCAACAGGTGCAGCAGCAGCAGCAACTGCAGCAGCACTCACCTATTGTTCCTGCATCGTAGCCGGCGCCGCGCGAAGGCTGCGGCGCTGGCGGCATGCCGGGGATTTCATAGACCTCGGGTTCGCTGGCCTGCCGCTGCTGCTGCTGCTGCTGCTGCTGCTGCTGCTGCTGCTGCCGCTGCTGCTGCTGCTGCTCTCTTCTCTTGCTGACCTCCTCCTGCAGCTCCTCATATATGTCGCCCAAGAACGTCCGGTTCATCCCAGCGAGGGCCTCCAGCGTCTGCGCAGCGCGAAGGCACAGCGAAGCAAAACAAACCCTAAACCCTAAACCCTAAACCCTAAGTGCTAAACCCTAAACCCTAAACCCTAAACCCTGAGCGGGGTTCGAGACCTACGCGGGCGGTGCAGTGTGCCGGCAGCTTCCCGTATATCGTGAACCAGCGCCTCAGGCATCTGCGCAGCAGCAGCAGCAGCACAGCAGCAGCAGCAGCAGCACAGCAGCAGCAGCACAGCAGCAGCAGCAGCAGCAGCAGCAGCAGCAGCAGCAGCACAGCAGCAGCAGCAGCACATCCTCTGCGCCTCGCGTCCGTCGCAGGATGCGACTATGGGCAAACTGGAAAGCCGAAGTGTCGAAAATGGACTTAAATAAAACCCTAAACCCTAAAACCCTAAAAGAGTGTTAAAGATTAAAAGTCCTTTTTTCTTTAAAAGTTCTTTTTGCTGCAGCAGCAAAACTCACTTCAACTGAAAGGCTTTCTTCCTGGCTGCCTGAGAGGGCAAACTGGGCCCGCCGGCGCCCAAACCCGCTCAGTTCTGAACGCAAACCCTAAACCCTAAACCCTAAACCCTAAACCCTAAACCCTAAACGCTAGGCCTCAACTGACGCTAAACCCTAAACCCTAGACCCCACCCCCAAGTTGGAAACCCTAAACCCTAAACCCTAAACCCTAAACCCTAAACCCTAAACCCTAGGCTGACGCGAGTCGAGGAAGTCCCCCTCGTCGGGCTTCCAAAAGATCTCCGCCAAACCCTCTTGGCCAGGAGCAACAGCAACTTCTGCAACAGAAAGAGAAGAAGCAGAATGGCCGAAGAGAGAAGCGCTGAGGCGGGGGGAGGCGTTGCTGCTGCGCACGCTCTCCGCGCCGTCGCGCTGCTGCTGCTGCTGCTGCTGCTGCTGCTGCTGCTGCGGGCGGCGGGGGGAGTGCGCGGCGCCCGCTGCTGCTGCAGCAACTGCTGCTGCTGCTGCTGCGGCCTGCGCAGACAGAGAGTCTTCCCGCTGCATCAGACGCAGACGGCCAGAGCCAGCCACCACCACGCCGAAGGGACTCGTGCTGCTGCTGCTGCTGCTTCTGCTGCTGCTGCTGCTGGCTTCCGCCCGCGCCCCCAAAGCCTTCATTTGCTCCGCCAAGCCGCTGCTGCTGCTGCGCAAACTCCAGGAAGAAAACCGCATTATATCGCTGTCTCTTTTGCTGGGCCTCTTCCCCTCCCCTTGCTGCTGCGCAGACCCGCTCGGCTGCCGCTGCGGCTCCTGCTGCTGCTGCTGCTGCTCCTGCTGCTGCTGCTGCTGCTGCTCCTGCTGCTGCTGCTGCTCCTGCTCCTGCTGCTGCTGCTGCTGCTGCTGCTGCTGCTGCTCCTGCTGCTGCTGCTGCTGCTGCTGCTGCTCCATGGACCCTTGCCCTTGGAGCTGCTGCGCCTCTTGCTGCTGCGCCACCGCTGCTGCTGACCCTGCAGGGCCCTCTCCACCAGACGGGCTGTTGCTGCCACCCCCAGACTCGGGGGGCCCCTCCGCAGGGGCCCCCTCAGGGGGCCCCTGAGGGGGGCCCCCCTCCTCTGCTCCGGGCATTGAAGCGCCAGCTGCTGCTGCTGCTGCTGCTGCTGACGCTAGGGTAAGCCCTGGGCGCCTGGGGGCCGGCAAGACCCAGTTTGTGCTTCTGTGTAGTCCGCGCTGCTGCTGCTGCTGCTGCTGCTGCCGCTAGCGAGACAGCAGCAGCAGTTGCCCCTGCGGATTTCGGTCCTCCTCCCTCTGCCCGAGTACCATATCTCCCCCGCAGCAGCAGCAACGAATCTATCTTCCCTATGTTGGGACTGCAGCAGCAGCAGCAGCAGCAGCAGCAGCAGCTCGTTTGAGTCGTATCCCACGGAGGCCCTCGTTCGCTGCGCTGCTCGGCAAGAGGCTCCTCTCTTGTGTGCCTCTGCCTCAGTCCTTGAAATGCATTTATTTCTCAATTCCAATTTTCTATAAAGGGGAAAACGAACGGAGAGCAGCAGCAAGAGCCGGCGCTGCAGCGGCTGGGGGCCCCGGCGCTGCGCCGAGCGGAACGTGACCAGTGGCTCTGCGGGGCCTGGGACTTCCCCGGGTTTCTCCTGGCTTTTTATTTATTATTTTAAATGTTTTCCATTTGCATTTGGCAGAGAAGTTTGCCCGCCGCCGTGGCTTGGGCTTGGTTTGCCTGCGCAGTGCGCTGCAGTCTTTGCTGCCTTCACAGTGCAGCATCGCCACACCATGCCTGCTAGTATCCTAAATCCTGTAAAGCACAGTTTAATTGTTTTAATTCAGTTAAATCCGAATATTATGAACTGCTGCAGCGGAATCATGAAGAAAATGGCTGACTTTGTGCAGCACTTCATTCCGCTGCAGATGCCGAAGCGCTGGTTTGGCCCACGGCCAGCATTGGCTTGCTGCTGTTTCTCTTAAGCCCTGCAGCAGCTGCTGCTGGTGTTGCTGCTGTTAGGTGTAGCTGCTGCGGCTAGTGCTGTTGGGTGCTGCTGCTGCTGCTAGTGCTTTTAGCTGTTGCTGCTCCTGCTGCTGCTACTTGTTGCTGTTGCTGCTGCCGCTGTTGCTTGTTGCTGCTGCCGCTGTTGCTTGTTGCTGCTTCTGCAGCTGGTGCGTCCTGCTGCTGCTGCAGCTGGTGCGTGCAGCTGCTGCTGCTGCTGTTGCGGCTTGCAACAGCTGTTGCGCGTGGGGTACTGCTGTTGCGTGTGTTTGCTGCTGCTGCTGTTGCGTGTGTTTGCTGCTGCTGCTGTTGCGTGTGTTTGCTGCTGCTGCTGCTGCGGCACCCGCTGCCGTTAGCCCTCACGAAGTTAGCAGCAGGAGAAGCCGCAGCAGCAGCAGCTCCTGCTGCAGCGAGAGCCCTAAAAGTATCTTCTGGGGGAATTCTTTACACCCCAGCCCACTGTGGCCAGGCAGCAACTGCAGCAGCAGCTGCTGCTGCTGCTGCAGTTGCTGCCTGGCTCAGAGCCCCAGGGCCCTCGCTGCGCAGCAACCAGCAACTCCGGGGGTGCCAAGCCGGGCCGATTGTGCAGCAGCAGCGCAGCAGAGAGCCTGCAGCAGCAGCAGCAGCAGCAATAGCAGCAGCAGCAAACAAAAAGAAACGCAGCAAGCTCGGGAGCTGCACGCTGCTGCTGCTGCTGCTCCTTCCTGGGTACGCTGATGCAGAGCCAGGGGCAGCAGCGGTGAGCTGCGCTCACACAAGTGCAGCACAAATTGCACCCAGCAGCAGCAACAGCAGCAGCAGCAGCAGCAGCAACAGCAGCAGCAGAAACCCCAGTCCCAAAGTGTGGCTAGCGACTGAAGCAGCTAGCCAGAAAGCTCTCCCCCAACGGGTGTAGGCAAAAGGTGGTAGTGCTGCTGCTGCGTTACCTTTGGCTAGCTGGCTAGCTGGTTGTTTGGCTAGCTGGCTAGCAGGCTAGTTTGGCTGACTGGCTACTTCGGCTAGCTGGCTAGCTGGCCACTTTTGGCTAGCTAGCTAGCCAGCTAGCTAGCTAGCTAACATGCGACCCGCGAAGTTCCCAGGCGGGGAGCAACTGTGGCTTGGCGTTGCTGCTGCGGCGTACAGTCAGCCATTACCGCAGCAGCAGCCACAGAGCAGCAGCAGCAGCAGGATACAGAAGCAGCAGCAGCAGCAGAAGCTGCAGCAGCAAAAGAAGTACCAGCAGCTAGAGAAGTAGCGGCAGTAGCAGCAGCCGCTGAAGAACTAGCAGCAGTAGCAACAGCAGCTGAAGAAGTAGCAGCAGCAGCAGCAGCGCCCACAGCAGCAGCAGCAGCAGCAGCAGCAAAGCAGCAGCAGCAGCTTATACGGACTAATTATTTAAATGTTCGACTTCTACTGTCTTCCCCGAAATCTCTGCTGCGGGGCCCAGCAAAGACCCGGCGGCCCCAGGGCCGGGCGATACTGCAGCACAGGCCCTTTCCCCTGCTGTTTGCCGCCTGCGCAGCAGCAGCTAGCTGCTGCTGCTGCTGCTGCTGCTGCTGCTGCTGCTGCTGCTGAAACAAAACTTTGACGATTGCAGTGCGATGCGCCGATTCAAAAAGCACGCCTCGCTCTGGCTGCTGGTGCATTAACTGCAGCAGCAGCAGTTGGGGCTGCGGCGCCGGCAAGACGCTGCAGCAGCAGCAGCCGCGGCTGCAGCAGCAGCAGCAAGACTGCAGCAGCAGCAGCAAGACTGTAGCAGCAGCAGCCCCATCAGTTGAACAGCAGCTGTCAGTCCCTGTCGTTTCTGCCGTGCTTGAAAACCCAGTCGTCCCTGTAAAGAAGAGACTTGTCGAAGGACCAGGGCTTGCTGCTGCTGCTGCTGCTGCTGCTGCTGCTCTCTGCTTCTTTCCAGCGGCGGCCCTTTCGGTATCTGTCCTCTCTCTCCTGCTGCAGCTTCTTCCGCTGCTGCTGCTGCAGCTGCTGCTCCTTCTCCGCCGCCCTGCGGCGCTTCTTCACGAGCTGGTAGGCCTCTAACACCTGCTGCTGATAGGTGGGAGCAGCAGCAGCTGCTGCTGCTGCTGCACCTTCCTGCTGCACTTCCGAAGAGGCCTTCCCTTCTGCAGCAAGAGCTGCTGCTGCTGCTTCCACTCTTGTGTTTGTCGCCCTAGCGCTGCAGAGACCACTCGCATGCAGAAAGCCACGAGCTGCTGATTCTCCAAGCAGAAGCAGCAGCAGCAGCAGAAGCAGCAGCAGCAGAAGCAGCAGCAGCAGCAGAAGCAGAGGTAAACGAGCTGCTGATTCTCCAAGCAGAAGCAGCAGCAGCAGCAGAAGCAGCAGCAGCAGAAGCAGCAGCAGCAGCAGAAGCAGAGGTAACAACAGAAGAGGCAACAACAGCTGCTGCAGCGGAAGCAGCTGCAGCACTGCCAAAGAAGGCACAGGCAACAGAAGCTGCAGCAGGAGCAGCAGCCAAAGTTGCTCAACAGCAACAGCAGCACGAGCTGCTGCAGCAGCAAGAGCTGCTGCAGCAGCAAGAGCTGCTGCAGCAGCAAGTTGCTGCAGCAGACTGACCGGCTGGACTTGGCCTTGAGAGCTTCGAACTTCTGCTTGAAGGCCCGCAAGTCTGGAGGCCCATCAACCACATCATTCCACAGCATTAGCGGGGCTTTCTTCTCAGTCCCTGCTGCTGCTGCTGCTGCTGCTGCTGCTGCTGTTGCTGCCTTTGCTGCTGCTGCTGCTCGTGCCGGCGCCGCGCTTGCTGGTGCTGCTGGCCCCGCTGCTGCTGCTCTTCTTGGCCTTACCCTGCTGCCGCCGTCGAGCGGTCTGATGATTTGCTGCTGCTTTTGGCTTGCTGCTGCTTTTGCTGCTGCTGCTTTTGCTGCTGCTGTTTTTTCTGCTGCTGCTTTTGCTGCTGCTGCTTTTGCGGTTGCTGCTCTTGCTCTTGCTGCTCCTGCTTTTGCTCTTGCTGCTGCTCTTGCTGCTGCTGCTCTTGCTGCTGCTGCTTCCGCTGCTGCTGCTCCTGCAATTCTTTTCTCTGCTGCATCAGACGAAGCTTCCTCCGGATGCCTCTGGGGAGCTTCTCGGCCTGCTGCTGCTGCTGCTGCTGCTGCTGTTTTTGCTGCTGCAGCTTCTGCTGCTTGCGGGGCCTTCCCTGCTGCTGCTGCTGCTGCTGCTGCTGCTGCTGCTGCTGCTGCCGGGGCTCAGCATTCTTCTTCAGCTGGCTGCCCGTGGGGGGCAAGTTGTACTTCTTCTTTTGCTGCTGCTCATTCTGCAGCAAAACAGCAGCAGCAGTTAACGAGCGGCCCCGGGGCTTCCTGCGGCCCCTGCGGACCTTCCAGCGAGAAGTCCGGCCCATGAGGCTGACTCGCCCTGCTGCTGCTGCTGCTGCTGCTGCTGCTGCTGCTGCTGCTGTTTGCTGCCTTTGCTGCAGCACAATTCGCGAAGGACTCTGCGGCGGCCTCGAAAGAGAGCCACGAAGACCCGCGGGCTAGCTCGGCCACGGGCGCGCTGCAGCTGCAGCCGTTTTTGCTGCTGCTGCCGCCCCCCTGCTGCTGCTGCTGCTGCTGCTGCTGCTGCTACATAATGGTGCAGCGGGCCTGCAGCGGGTCCACCAGCAACTCGTCAGTGTCCACTTCGAGTCTGTCAAAAGAACCTTCTCGCCACTTCTCGACGTGGAAGGCCAAGTACTCTGCGTAGTGTGGGGCGTCGCTGCTTTCGACGAGGCAGCTGCTGCTGCTGCTGCTGCTGCTGCTGCTGCTGCTGCTCTGGCGGCGGCGCAGCGTCGCCGGGGCCGCCGCCGCCGCTGCTGCTGCTGCTGCTGAGGCTGCTGCTGCTGCTGCGCCCGCCAGCGCCAGCGCGCGAGACGGAAGAGACGACACGAAGTGCACGCGGCGGCTGCTCGGCGTGTCTGCTTCTGCTGCTGCTGCTGCTGCTGTTGCTGCTGCTGCTGTTGCTGCTGTTGCCACGCCTGCAGCACGCGGGGGCTCTTTGCTGCCCAAAGACCGCGGCAGCAAAGCTGAAATAATCACATCCAGTGCCCTGTGGCGCCGCTGCCGCTGCTGCTGCACGTCTCTGGCTTCGCTGCAGTACAGTTGGCTCTCCAGAAGCCGCTGCTGCTGCTGCTGCTGCTGCTGCTGCTGCTGCTGCTCCTTCTCCTGCTGCAGCGCGAAGCCGGCCGACGAAGGGCCGCAGTGAGGCTGCAAAGGGGACCCCTCGGCAGCTGCCGCGACGCACTCGGACTCGTCGCTCACTGAGGAGTTCTGCTGCAGCTGCTGCAGCTGCTGCTGCTGCTGCTGCTGCTGCTGCTGCTCCTGCTGCAGAGCGCCAAGACAGGCGTCTACCCCTTCAACCGCACGGCCTCGTGCTGCTGCTGAGAGCGACGCGGCCAGGCACAAAGGGCACACAAAATTGAGGGAGAAGTCGCTGAACCACAGGCCGCTTCCCTGCTGCTGCTGCTGCTGCTGCTGCTGCTGCTGCTGCTGCTGCCGGGGCCTGCTGTAGGGCCGCGAGTGGCAAGCGCGCCAGCCCGATATGCGGTGGCGCCGCTGAGGCCCTCTGCGGCTGCTGCTGCGGTTTCTGCTGCCAGCAGCAGGGCCAGACACCCGCTGGAAGTGTCTTCCTCGGGGCAAGCCCCCTGCTGCTGCTGCTGCTGCTGCTGCTGCTGCTGCTGGCGAGCGCTGCCGGCGGCCCGAGTCGTGGAAGGGGCAGCGCCAGGGGAGAGGAGCAGCAAAGTCGATGTGCTGCTGCTGCTCCTGCTGCTGCTGACTCTCCTCGGGGTGCAGATCCGGCTCGCTAGCAGCAGACTGGCCCGCCGAAGCAGCAAGTGACGCCAGTCGCTGCGGCACTGCTGCTGCTGTTGCTGCTGCTGCTCCCCCTGCTGCTAAGGCCGAATTCACGAGTCCGCTCAGGGCAGCGAAGGCCGCTGTTCTGTACTCAGACAGCGAGGGCGCAGCGCAGGCCTCCAAATATCCTTGCTGCTGCCTGCTGCTGCTGCTGCTGCTGCTGCTGCCCGCGGCCGAGCCGCTGCACGGAATCGGCGAAAAGCCAGGGTCAGGGGGCCCAGTCGCTGCAGTAGTATTGCCCTGAGAATGGCCCACGCACTTCTTCATGTTGAACTTGGGGGCGCACTGGCGGTGCTGCTGCAGCTGCTGCTGCGGCTGCTGCGGCTGCTGCGGAGGCTGCTGCTGCTGCGGCTGCGGCTGCTGCTGCTGCTGCTGCTGCTGCTGCGGCTCTGCAGAGAATCTACCGAAGGACACGACTGCCACTTCAGGCTGCTAACGCACAAATCGATAGCACGAGCTCCTTGGAATCCCCTCAAGGGTGCGGCTGAGCAGAGCCCCAGCTGCACACGCAGCAGCAGCCACAGCAGCCGCTGCTGCTGCTGCTCCTCTGGAAGGCAGCGAAGACGGAGGCACAAAACAGCCCCTTACAAAAAGCTGGCGAGGCGTTTACCTCTTGAAGGCTGTGAAAAAAATTTGGAGTGATAGGCTCTGCACACACACGCCGTTGACGCAGAGCCCCTATGGGGGAGCGGCTGCTGCTTCTGCTGCTGCGGCTGCTGCGGCTTCTGCCGCCGTAGCTTCTGCTGCTGCTGCAGCCAAAGGCTTAAAAATGGAGCGTTAAACTGTTTGCTTTAAAGGCTGGAATAAAGAAGTCGCCGGTTACGGCATTATCCTGCTTCCTTCGGGCACTGGAGGTTTCGCAGCGCAGCAGAGCACGGCAGCTGCACCACACGGCTTTAATATGTCCTTAAAAAGTGAACACACACTTCGCTTCCTCCACTGTTTTTAGTTCAAGAGAAAAACTGACAAACTTCGGGCCAAAGGCCCTGCAGCAAACGGCACTTCGCGCACCCTCAGCCGCCTGCGCCCGTAGACAAGTCTTGCAGCTACAAGGGGAGCTTAGATGCTGCGGCCCCCTTAACTATGAAAGCTGCCTGAGAAACTGCGTGCAAAATGAGGGGTGAAAGTCATTAATGTAAACTGTTCGAATTAAAGGCGGATGTGTAGGGGAGCAGCCTCAGGAAGAGCCACTCGAAGAGTGTCGGGGGCTCAACCCGCACAGCCATTTCCCAAGTTAAAAGGTGCCGAGTTGGTTTTAAATAAAGCATTTAAATTGTTTTAGCGCTTGTCTCTGCGCGGAGATGATGTCCCAAAGGGTTTCACCGAGTACAGTCTGTCACATTCTTCCGGTGTTCTGCAAAACGCAGACAAGCATCCGCAACTATTTCCTTTCCTTATGCCACTTCTGCTCCAATGTATCGCCTTTCAAAATAGTTTTGTACTTTTAAAAGTGGCTGGCTATGGATGCAATGGCTGCCAGAGGCATACTCTTGGAGGCGATTGCTGGAGGCGACTGCTGTAACGATTTATTTAGCGGACGGCCAGCTCTGCCTTTCCAGAATGAAGCAGCAAGTTGCCGTCGAGGCCTTTAAAGTTTGTCTTCAAAAGCACTTCAAGTGGATATAATCACTTTAGTTAGTGAGCCGATCGGGAGGTGTCTTTGCTTTGAAACTTTTTCCTGTTTTTGTTGTTCCTAGAATATTCCCCTCTGCAAGCTTCCACGGCTATCCTGGACGCTTATTTCCCACTGTAACTATCCCAAATGCAGCTACTTTTGAATCACGTAGCAAAGATGTTTTCGCTTCATTGAGCACGTTATCCAGAAGTACTACTGATCACCCTGCTTTGACGGGAGTTGAGCAGCAGTGAACAGATGGCCGGCCTCGTTTGGAGCGCTCAGGAGGCAAACAGCGCACAAGATGTTACAAGACAGCTCATATAAAATTCTGTTCATAGCATTGGATTGCAGTCAAACGGAGTCAAAAGCTGAATGAAATGCACAGCGTAGCCTTGAAGTATGTCCTGTGTTTTGTCGTTTGTGGATACAGCGAGCTCTCTTTACATTGGTCTTTTGTAGCTGGTTAGAGGCGAAGCCAAAGTGCCACGTGCTGCACAGCATCTTCTGCCGCCTTTTGTAACACAGGCTTGTGACCAAAAGCACCGACTGACTTGTGAACAGTGGCTTTGAGCAAGTTGAATTGGCCAGCTCATAGACCAAAAGAGCCTACAAAGCAAATACAGGCCATTTTGAAGTTGAACTGACCACCCAAACTTAAGCTCGCGGCACTAACTGTGCTCGATGGCGTAGGATGCCACATGTTGTGGGCAGCACTACAGCATAGCCCAGAGATGGCCCTTTAAGCTGTATAATTCAGAATATGTAGATTGATGTGCCAAACATAAACATTAAACTCGCAATGAAGTTGATTCCTCAGTTGATAAAGCCTGGTGTGTACTGTAGTCAGGCCCAGGTGTTGCGGCTGGCAAGAGGCTCTGGAGCTCCACTGCGCCGAACGCCAATGCGCTCAGGGAGAAACGTTTGAGGAAAACGGAAACACAGAAGGAATGCAGATGTAACCTTCGAAATGCGGGCTCATAAAGATCTTGTTTAAGCCCTTTTCAAAGGTCAACAGTGCCTTTAAGTGGTAGGTAACGACAAAGGAACATTTAGAAGTCCAACTGAGCTAATCTCATAGCACTTCATCGCCGCCAAGCTATGTTAGCGTACATGGCAGGCTGGAGGAAGCCGAGCGTTTTGGCCTGGGAACATCACACGCATAATAACCTCTTCTCAATATTTTGAATTTGGGGCTGTTCACTGGCACTGACACTTTAAAATGCCGTGGGGGTTGAGACACTCAACAGTACTGCAAGCCATGTGCGTGTCATTCCGCCTAGCTTGCTGATGACCGGCAGCTAAGGGTTTAAAACCCGCATTTTACCTTGGAGTGTTTGTACGAAAAAGAACATTGCATACTTACGTGAAGAAATCGCACATGGAAAAGTGCGTGTTTTGTTAAAAGGACTAGTAAGGAAACTCCAACGGCCGGAGCTTCAGTACGTTGAAGTAGCTGGAAAGGTCCCACTTCGTATTGCTATACATTGGGAGAGCTCAGAAGGTCTTAGTTAGTTTTGTTCTTCATTTTATGCTTTGCTTGGCAGCGACGATAAGCTACGTGTCTATAGAGTTTCGGTAGCACGAAGATCGTGCAGCTTCTTCGTCCGTAGGCCCCAGATTTGGTGCGACAAGTGCAGGTTTCAGACGGGAATCGAGTAGCCGATCACCTGGTCATTGCAAAAGGTGGCGAATTTAGGCGCAATTACTCTGAATGCTTTTGTGGCCGTTGCGCTTTTCTGTATGCCCAAATATGCAGACACGAATTCGAGTCCTCTTGCTTAGCACCTGGCCAGCGACTGATGCCAACCCTTAGTCTTGGCTGCCCCCGAAAGATGTTTGGAGGATAAACGGGAACGCTCTTTCGTGCCTTTCTCTTCTTAGTTCATTACAGAATTCCTTCATGGCTCTATTTTTTTCAGGGCGGTTTTTTCTCGTTATTGTTAGCCCCTTACAACTCCTGCGAAAACAAGCAGGAGTATATTAATGTTTATGATGCAACGCATTCTGGAGAAATCTTCCTGGCTTCACCGCAAGGAGCGAAAACTGTATAATGGTGAGGACCCCCGAAGCGGTTTGAATTAAGTTCACTTCGAACAAATTGCGGCCAGTTAATCTTTCACAGAAATGTTGTTTTGTTAGTGTCCTTTGCACCCAATGAATCAAGAAGCAAAGCCATTTGTTCTTCTTGTTACACTATCATTTTGTTTTTCTTCTTATTCGGACACTCGTGATGGACACCTAAGCCGGGCTCTTCCTCTTAGCAAAGCTCCGGTTATGCTGCACCAGTATTATATCCTCTGGAGTGTGTGCGAACTGTTCTCAATTACTCTGTGACTCGAATTTCACAACGTTCGTTCCAGTTGCGCACTACCACATCTGTCATCAACTCTGCTGTCTTGCACTCAACTGATTGATATCTTGCCCGTAGTCTTGACAGCACGTTTCTAACCAAGTGCGACAAACAGTTCAACTCAGCTTTCTTTGGTTTCCAACTTCAATAAGTTTTGCTTGGCACGCGCACTTAGGCGTTATTCATACTCTAGTTCTCGTAGTATATGAAAGATTCATTAACCTCTAAGGTAGGCACAATGCACAAACTACTGCCCTTTTTGTTCTCCTAAACATAGTGTAAGCAGCTACAGGATACATAAATTGGCTTTTCTGGCCTTTCGAATGATGAACCACTCGAAGTGCCAAACAAACTGTACTCGCTGGAAGCCACTGACGCCAGCAAACAGGGTTGCAGGCTCTGGCACTTTTCTGTGCAGTTGTGCTCCAGAGGGCCTCCTTATGTGCGCATTTTAATTCAGACAAAGTTTAAAATGTATTTCCTAAAGCCAAATTATTTCATGAATGTCTTCTTCAGCACTTTGAACTCTGCACTGGTGCTGGTTGCTGGACTGCCTAGGCAGCAACTGCAGCAAATGGCCTTATTACCATTAGCCAGGAGCCGTCAACGGCCCTCAGGGAACTCAAACTTGCGAAAAAATAAACCAAAACAATAGACGCACCCAACATTTGTTACCAGAACTCCTATAGGCACATGGGGGGTCTAAGAAGCTGCTACACACGGCAGCGCGGGAGGCGTGGGGGCCAACAGCTGCTTGACTGAACGATCTAGGATCTTTTTGCTGCGCAACTTGACCCCTATTTGCCTGTGAATATCGAAAAGAAGTAGAAAACCAGGTTTCGACGCAGACAGAGTGCCACAGCCCCTCACATGCATGCCTGTAGTGCGTTAGGTGCCGGGTCAAATTAATGGTGAATGGCCTGTTTTTTGCATTTAAAACGGCAATTGTTTCTTATTAATGCATTTGGAATTTCCGCAGATAAGGAGAGCGGGGTGTTCTCCCCATGGGGTTCCTGCGCCATGCACGCAGTCTCACCCAGCCCCAGCCGCTACTGCCTGTGCCTTGTTGCCACTAGGCTCGGGGAGCTTTCGTATTGCGTGACTATTTAAGCAGAATTCTTCGCTAAATCGCCAATTTTTCACTTTTTCCGTTTTTCTCTCCAAGTCCTAGACCCACTGTAGTGGCGGGCACCACGGCAGCCGCAGCACCTAACGCCGGCCGCGCCTCCCTATAGGCCTAGACGGCGCTGTTTTCCTCCAAAGGGTTTTCTTCTGCAGTTCTGGGCAGTCCTTCTGGCCCAGTTTGCGTGCTGCTGCTGTTTGAGCAACAGCAACAGCAGCAGCTGCAGCCGCTGCAGCAGCTGCTGCTACCCTTATGGCCCTGGCTCCTCCCCCCCCTCTTTCTTCACTATGAGTGAATCCGACGGCCAGCAGCGCATGTCGCTGCTAGTAAGAAACCTCAGCTACCAAACGAGCCCCGAGGTAATGCTGCTGCTGCTTGCCTTGTCCGGGGCTTCCCCTGGGGCCCCCACTGCCCCTCCCGGGCCCCCCCCTGCTGCTGCTGCTGCTGCTGCTGCAGCAGCAGCAGCAGCCCCTGCCCCTCTCTGTCTGCAAACCCTAACAAGTGCTTCGGGGCCTCCCGCTGGGCCTTGGGGGCCCCCGGGGCCCCCGGGGGGCCCCCCGGCCTTCTGCCTGGGCGGGCCTATCTGCGTCTCCCGCTTTCTCCGTGTCTCAGGCCCATCATTTTGCTGCTCTCAGTGCCCTTTCTCTGCTGCTGCTGCTCTCAGTGCTTCTGGCTTTTGCTGCTGCCCCTCTGCTGCTTCAGCTGCCTCTTAAATCCCTATAATTCTCTCTAACTCCCAATCTCTCCACCCCAAACCCCTCTCTCTCTACTTCTAAATAAGTGCCTCCAAACCAACCCCTGTGGCTGCCCCTGCGACCACCCTACATGTCTCTGCCCCCAGGGGGCCTCCAGGGCCCCCGGTGGGGCCCCCCGGGTCCCCCTGGGGCCCCCCGAGGTCCCCCTGGGGCCCCCCGAAGTCCCCCTGGGGCCCCCCGAAGTCCCCCTGGGGCCCTCTGAGGTCATTCTGGGGCCCCCTGAGGTCATTCTGGGGCCCCCTGAGGCCATTCTGGGGCCCCCTGAGGCCATTCTGGGGCCCCCTGAGGCCATTCTGGGGCCCCCTGAGGCCATTCTGGGGCCCCCTGGGGCCCCCCGGGGCCCCCGGGGGCCCCCTGGGGCCCCCCAGAAGGCCGGAGGGTCCCTGATTGGGTGGGAGTTTGTCGTGGGGTGCTGCAGGCTGTGCGGAGCGCGTTTGCTGTTCACGGGTCGGTGAAGGACGTGTACTTGCCGCTGGACTACCACAGCCGAATGCCGCGGGGGTTTGGCTTTGTGGAGTTTTGGCACAGAGAAGACGCAGAAAGGGCTTTGGAGAAGATGGACGGCTTCGAGTTGGACGGGAAGGCCATTGAGGTGGCCATTGCCAAGAAGGGGCGGTCCGCGCCCCAGCAAATGGTCCGCTGCTGCTGCTGCTGCTGCTGCTGCTGCTGCTGCTGCTGCTGCTGCGGGGGGTGGCGGGGGGTGGGGTGGCGAGCTGCTGCGGAGGCTGCTGAG